GAATTACTTTTTTCTTTCTCTACGTTATGTGAAAAGTGTGAATCAAATATTTGACATGTACTGATAAGAATCATAAAGATTCATTCTCTTATATAATATTTATATTTATAATTCAAAATAAAGATACGATTTTCTGTAGTATGACGAACATAAGAAAATGATCTGGATTGAATATCAAGAAGAAGAAAAAATTATCACAATCAATATATAAATTGTTTGTTTTAATAGACAAAAATGTTGACTAATATTATCATAAAAAAAGAAAGAACAACAACATCAACAAATGAAATAAACAGACTGTTTCTTATAGTTAGAAGTACATATCGATCAGCCATTTAGAAGAATAAATTAAGTAAAATGCAGTTTCTATTTACAATATTATATAAATAGATCAGTAATATTGGAGTGTAAAAATAAACATATTCATATTCTCTTCAACGTTCTTTTTTTTCATGGACTATTGACCGCACATTGTGCTAATAAATGATTACGACACATGTCGCATACACGAACTGGCTTGTTTGAACTGGGTAAAGGTAATTTTGTACTTGCACATGTTTCACAAAAGATTTGACCACAACTAAATAGAAAATATTCATTAGATTTTACTGAAACGAAGTATCAAGGGCGTAGTCAGAGAGAGGTGCACAAATACGCGTGCATAGGTAACTGCAAAGTGGTTCCGAGACTGAGACTAAATTTTTATTTCGGGACCGAGATTGGACCAAAACTATCATCTGATCCCGTCAATTTTTTTTATCATATATTAAACTAGACATTTATTGAATATTGAAAAGCAGAAAATCCATAATTGTTTCTTTTCAAAAGCAAGAGTGAGTGCGTCAATCATTATACAACTACTCTTAAACTTCTATTGAGATCAGTACCGAGATCGGGACCGAAAAAAAGTGGTTTTGCAGTTCCATACCCGTGCACCCCCTTTAGCCAAAAATATCTGAAGGGGGATCCTGGTAAAGAACCTTGTTACAAGACAAAAAACTATTTGCCGGTTGGTGTGTACTCCCCCCTCTCCTGTGAAGTATTATTAATATCTTACTTTCGACAATGATGTTTTCTTCTAAGTGGACTAAAATCTTTTTTACATTGACAACATTCTTTAACATCTTCATCTTTCATCCAAGTTGATGATCGAAGACCATCTTTTTCTCGAAATTCATCTTCACGTTTAATAGATACTTCTAATTTTAATGCTAATTCTCTTATAGTTTCTTCTTGTTCTTGAAATTTTTTTTGTAAATCATTTTGTTGTTTTGTCATTTGTTTTTTATATGAATCATATTCCTAAAAACATAAATTTAAATGAAAATAAAACAAAAAAGAACCAATACTTGTTTTATTAAATTTAATTCATGAATATCGAATTGAAGTGATGAAACTTTTTCTTTTTCACTTGTTAATGTTTGTTGAAGACGTTGACGAAAATCTTTTTCAACACGTAAATCAGTTTCAATTGATGTTCTAGAAGAAACAATATTGAATAATATAGTTTAAAAAAAAAATATAAACAAACTTTTCAGCATCTATTTTAGCAAGTTCTCGACTTATTGATTCATTTGTATCATTAAGTGCATGTTTTTCTTTATTAATTTCCTCGATACTAAAACGAAAAATGATAAATAAGCAATTTGTATGTCTTTAGTTATACTTTGTTTCTAATTGGCTAATTGTTTCTCTTAACATTTGATTTTCTTTTTCTAATGATTGAAGTTGATGTTCTCTTTCTTCATTTCGTTTTTCTTCAATCTAATACAAACATAAATAATATTTATCAAGAAAAACAAAATATTCACCTGTAATTTTTCTGAAAGACGTATATTTTCATCTTTAATACCATCAATTTGTTCTTTCATATGAGTATATAATGTTGTTTTCATTTCCATATCTTTTCCCATTAATTTAGTTGCTTCAATAAAATCATTTTTTTGAGCTAATTGTAATTGATATTCAGTTTCAACATCCTAATTTATTCAATGAAAAGATTTTCTTTCCCAGAAATTTTCTATTCCTACTTACAATTTTCGATAAACATTCATCGTCATATTTCTTTTCTAATTCATGATAAAGTACATCCAAACCAGCACGAGATTTTTGATAAGTTTCTCGTTCAAGTGCCATATCAGAATTCATTGCCTAAAAGAAAAGAATTGATTGTTAGATATATATACAAGCAGTAAACCAGACAAGACATATATCATGAATATTACTAAAAGAAAAACTGGCGTGGGAATCATTCGAAGTATCAAAAAATTTTGGGAAATTATTAATCGGTCAGTAAAATAGATGAAATGATCAGTAAGATAAATGGTGAGTAAAAACTATGAAAATGAGCAGTAAAAAGATTAAACGGCCAGTATTTAGATTATCACTCTTGTAAACAGAAGACTAGCAAAAATCTGATGTTAATCGATCAAAATAGGACAATGTTAATCAATTCCAGTATTTTTCACTTTTTAAATAAATATTTTCTAATTTTTCGAGACAAGGAGTCCAACGAGATATCGAGCACCTCAATTCTCAACACATATCTCAGAAAAAACGCATTTTATGATCACCGATACTGTAGTTCATTTTTTAATTGCTAGTTCAATTGAAAACATAGTGAAAATCAAAATCTCTTTAACCCCCTTTCTAAATGAGTGATAATCGGAATACTGACCAACTAAGCTTTTTACTGCTCATTCCATCTATTTTACTGACCATTTCAGTTATTTTACTGACCAAGTAAATGATAGCCAAAAATTTTCGACATAAAATTGTGCCTATATCAAAGCCACAACCATGAAGTTCTAGAATTTAAGGACTAAGTATTCTCGAGATATTATGTTTTTGAAATATCCATAAGAACCTAATAGATTCATATCTCGGGAATGCTCAGTCGAAAAATGTCTGAAACTTTATGGATGAACTACCCTAGTTGAGGCTTTGATATAGGCAAAGTTTTACGGTAAAACTCGAAACTTTGATTTTATGTTGAGAATAGTATCCCATACCCTTCCTATGTATGGACAAAATTTGAACTCAAAAGTTTTTTGATACCTCGGGTGATTCCCTCATAAGAAAACCATTGTTTATCGATTAGAGACAGTAGAACAGATCTTCGATACTCTCATAGAAGAAAAAATGAAATGCAGATTTCTGCATCTGTTCTTGATAAAGATAAGATTTCTATCTCCAATAGTACATAGTCTGAAATTTAGTTCAACAATTTGAATTAATAGAACATTGGTTTAGAATTTGTAATAGGAATACATCGAATACAATTAATTCTGATGAAAAACTTTTTTACTTCAATTTTTGCTTGATAAGATGATTGCATTTGTTCTTTTTCTGTTTTTGTTTTTGATAAATTTTCTTCTAATTGTTCAATTCGAATTTTTTGTACTATACCATCGTCTGTTAAAGATTTATTTGTTTGTTCCATTGTTTGTAAACGTTCTTGTAAACTATTAACTGTTTTCCTAAATATACATATTTAATACAAATAAAATAGAAATGAATTCATTTTATTAATTTACTGTAAATTTCGATGAAGTTCTTCAATATAATTTTTTTGATCAAGTATATTAGAAATTCGTTGATCATCATATGTAATCATATCATTTGTATTCGATATAATAACCGTATCAGAATTTTGTGTACTTGTTCGTGTTATTGGCGATGATGATAATGATGAATAATCATCTAATTCATCAATTTGATCTTCAATAGAACCAGGTGGATGTGTATTTTTCAATGTTGATTGTGATGGTATACGTCTTTCACGTAAATATAAACTATAATAAATCGTTGTTTCACTCGGATGATCAAGTATAGCTTCTTTTAAACAAAAATTTAAATCTAATACATTAAGACCAACAAGTAAACCAGTAATCATCGATATTTCATCTGATAATAATAATGCGTCACTATCATAGAATTCTTTTAATTCATGTTTTTGTTCAACAAGAATTTTAAAATAATCAGCTAAACGTTTTTGCATTAATGCAAGACGTAACCATGCACGTACACGACCTAATGATGTTCGAACATTTGTCATTTCTTTTGATGATAAGGAGATTTCGGAAACATCCGCGCCTGTTGATTTACGTGCAATAAGTTCAATAAGTGGCCAAAGATCTTTGCGATTTGATGATGGAGTTATTGGAAAAGATTTTTTTCCTGTATAACCATGTAATAAAATTTGTTCGAAGACAATAAAAAAAATGTTTTAATGGAAAATATTCTTTTTCAAGTAACCGTTCATGTCGTAAACTTGAATTTAATAGATCTTTTATAACTAATTTAAATATACATAATAAATTTTGTTTTTCAATGAGTAAATTTTCACAATCTAAATATACATATATTATAAATTCTAAAAAGAGAATTTTAGGATATTTTTACTTTGTTCTGTTGAATTGAATAGATTAGTAAATGAACGTCCATCACTTAATGTAAATGGCATGATGGAAACTACAATCACTATACGACAAAGATAAGAATATCGAAACAATAGTAGTTTATTTCGATCACGTTTTTTATTCTCTTATTGGTTGTTCGACGCCATTTTGTTATTTCTTTTCCGGTATTTGATCATATAAACGCAATATTTTAGTTACCTAATGAACTTGCACTACAGGGACATCTAACGGAAGAACGAGATTGACAACAACCGTATTTATAGATATTAATCATTTTAATCGAATTTAGTAGTTATAATTTTTATTTTATTTAATAATAATAAAAAAGCACATTTTATTCATTTCTTATCACACAAAAAAAAATGAGGAGCAAACTTTTCCTAAATATTTCCCATACAAAAAAATAAACTGTTTAGCAAGTAGAAAAAACGAAGATATATAGAATCTTTTATATTACAGAAAAAGAAAAAGTTCAACTCTCTTGAATAACTAGAAATAAACGTTTAAAGCAACGACTAGAGAGGATAAATAATAAAAAAGAAATGCATTGATAAGCTTGATTAAAATAATTCCTAATCACTATTTCATGCACATTTCTTTAAAACGTTCAGGTAGAAGAAAAATTAAAATTAATTGTACGATAGTCATTGATTGTTCACATGGATCCATAATACCACGTTGAAGCCATTTGGGTATTGTTAAACGTGCATGACGAAAACCTAATTTTTGTAAAACATAATCGGCACCAAATGGTTCAACTTCATTTCCATATGCTGTAAGAAGTTTTATCGTTGGTTGTAATTTCCATTTAGCATCTGGACAATGAAAACGACGAGTATCAGTACTACCTGCATCATCAGATGGCGGAGATGTTTGTTGATCAGTTGTGGATGTATTTGATCGTTGTGGAGTTTTATCAATTGCTGCTGCTATTAAAGCTTAATTGAATGAAAAAAATGAAAATAAATTTAAAATAATGATATAAATTTTTATTTTACTTCGTTCTTTTTCTTTTATATATGAAGTTATAAGATCATGTAAGAAATAAAAATGTTCAGCATTGAATGAAAACATAATATGTTCATAAAATTCTGTTTCAAAACTACAATGTACTTGATCTAGATATTAATGATATATACAAGAATTAAATTAAAATTTCTTTTATTTTTACCATTGAGTTGTCGTGTTTGAAAACGTAATTCAAGAGCCGGTAGAATAAATATTGATTCAGCATTTTGATCAAATTGTCTTGGGCGACCTTGTCTTTTCATAACTGATATCTCAGGTTCATCAAAAGTTGGAAAATCACGTAAACCTATATAAATATAATTCTATTTAGATTTGAACTAAATGAGTATGAACAAAATCATGGAGGATGAAGTAATAGGTTACATTATCTGGAGGGTGTGTGTACTAGACATATGATACACCCACACCCACACCCACCACTAGCGGATCTAGGATTTTGGAAGGGGGGGGGGGGCACGATTTGTTTTTTTTTAGTATGGAGGGACGATCACCCCTCACCCTAAATCCGCCACTGACACCCATCACGTCTACACTCTCAAGATGTTAGACAATTTTTTTCTTCTCACAACCTACCAATAGCTGAAATTGTTGAACTTGCATAATTGAACCATTCATTAATTGTTAAATGTGATGGCGCTTCATTAGTACTTCTTGTAACTTTCGAAATTGAAGCCATATTTGTACGAGGTCTTACATTTGCATGTGTTGTTTGACTTTGATCACCCAATGAAAAGATTAATTCTTGATTAGCTAAAATAATAAAAATAATTCTATTGATTGTAATACAAATGAAAATTCATAACATACTATCGCCTTCTTCTCCTCGATTTGTAATAAAATTAATTTGTGGTTCATTAAGTGAAAATAAAGCCCATTGCCGTGATTTAAAATTTAATCCATGAAAAACAACTAATGTTAAATTATGTCCTTGTAACATTATTTCACCACCATGCATTCCAATAGATTTTTTAATAATATTTGTATCATATTTTGAATGTATAGTTGAAGATTTTTTTGTTTGAGGCTTTACATTTGTACGATCACGAAAATCATATTGTATTGATGCTAATATAGATTTTGAACTACTTATATGATTATTAAAAAATTCAGTTAATTTCGTTGCCATTTTTATCATATCTGGTGTTGTTGAACGTGTAATCATTAGATGTAATTGTGACCATCCAAGATTAAGTAAAACAGATTTAAATGGTGTTATGGAATCATTATATGCTGTTGATGAAGGACGATCATCTTTTAATCGAAGTAATATATGAGATATACGTCCCATTAATGTTGGCGAACCCATATAATCAAGACGAAGTTCAATTGCATCCGTTAAAATATCGATAGCATGAGATGCATCAACAAAAGTTGATCGATCACGAAGTTCGTGAAGAATAAGACCTGAAGAGAAGAAAAACAAAATACATTAATTTATATTTTTGGTGATTAAATTACCTGTTGTTCGAAGATTTTTAAGTCTTATAATTCCTCCGACAATTCCTTGTTCAGCTTGTAATAATGAACTTTGTAAACCTAATGAAAGAAAAAATGTTCGTTTTCCTTCACTTGTTAATGTTAAACTTCCAGTTGAAGAAACATCTTTTGTATTCCATTCAATTTTTCCCATGACATTCGACATACGCATTGATATATGTAATTCTTTTAACTGGATAGCTAAAATTACATGTGCTTTTTTACGTAAAACTTCATTTGTTCTCGATGGTATTTGTGTTGGTGGTGCAGTTGGTTGTGTTGTTCGAGTTGTTGGTGGAATTCTTGTTGGTAAGTTTTCATCGCCTAAGAATAGACGACGAGCTAATGAACGATTATACCAAATTTTTGGAAATGTTAAAATTTCTGTGAAACGTCTTATATCATATTCAAATTGTGCTTTTGATATTTGTATAATAACAGATAATTGAATATTATTTAAAAGTTCATTATCTTGATCAATTATTATATAACGTGTACGAGAAATATTAAGTGAAACTGATTGTACACTAACTGCTAATGCATTACGTGTTTGCAATTGTCCCGAACGCATATCTTCATAATAATGTACTTTTGATTCACCAGAAAATGGATGATAAACATTAAATTTGAAATCTTTCATATATAATGAAAAACTCAAACCAGCAAGAGAATTTTCTAAAATTTGTTCAGATGGATTTTCATTTGATGTTGTACTATCGGGAACAGCACGTTTAGATGAAAATACAATATCAACAGCAGGTAAACGAAGTTCACATTCCATTGGATGTGTTGGTAAACATGTAAATAAAAGAACACATGGTTGAATATATAAACTAACAACAACATCAATAGGAAATGATGCTGTTGATGTTTGATCTTCCATTAAAAACCTAAAGAAATATCATTAGTACAAAGTGGCTCGAAAAATTATTCTTTCACAAATATCGTTAGTTTCTTTCTGGGTTACTAAGTCTTGAAACGGATGTGATTACGGGGTAGCCACTTTTCGTCCTCGCTTTTTTTTGGACATCGAACATAGAGATTCGTTCCGAATGAAAATCGTACAGGTGTCCGCAACGAAAAGTACAGGATGGTCGGAACATAAAATAACGGATGTTCGGAATGAAAACGACGAATGTACGTAAGAGTGAAGGGTCGATTTTTGCAAGAAAATACATTTTATGTTTCGGACATCCAGTATTTTTTCATTCCGAACATCAGTACATTTTTCGTTTCGAACATCCGGTTTTTTAACCGAATGTCTGGAAATGCGATGATCAAAAAGAGCTGACCCGTAATTACTGATTTCGATAGCTCACGAGATTCTCTACCAAATTGCTTCAGCATCAGAATTATACGTTCTTCACGACAGTATTATTGTAAAAGTAGTCGAACGAAGATTTTAGAAACTTTTTTATCAGTTTCATAGGTAAAATTCTGATGCTGGATGAATTCGGTAGAGAATCTCGTAAGCTATCAAAATCAGTAATTGGATCTGTTTCAAAGCTTAGTAATTCAGAAAAAAATTGAAGATGTCTTACATATTATTTAAATGATCATCATCATCTTTATTTGAATTTTGTATATTTTCGTCTCGTATGTTTGTGTGTCCATGTTGTTCATGTGGTAATTTAACATATTCAAGTGTTTGTTCAATAAAATCCAATAAAATTGGATGAATAATAATTTGTGTTATAGGTGATTGTACTCGAGCACAACAATAAAAATTTCCTCGTTTATTTAATGAGCTATTTGTTGTATTATTATGTTTAGAAGTATAATGTGCATCAACATCAACACTCGGTAAAGAAAATTGTAATACTTGATATTCAATTTTATTTATTATTTGAATTGAACCAACTGTTGCTTGAGTTTGTTGTTGTTGTTGTTTATTTACATTTGGTTTTAAAGGAGATTGTGATATAAGATCACGACGTGTATAAAGATTACATGAACCATTAGCTATTAAAATTTGAACATTTAATTCTAAATCAACAGCTGATGTTGATGTTATTTCATTTGGATTATTATTTGTTGTAGATGATGTATTCGATTGACGATCATCACCTTCATGTGATGTTGTACTAAAAATTAGAAATAAGAAATTATTTTAATTTAATATAATATTGTTTTTTGTCTTTTTTTTAAATATTAAAGCGGATAAATAAAATAATAGTTCCGATCCCAATGGGTAGTTAATATTTATTATATATAAAAATACCTATAGTATATAGACTCAAATGGATTTTTCTTTCTAGAAGAATGATAGATAAAGATTTTATTTCTGATAGATAGAAAGACAGATTCAATTTCCTACCGAATAGTAAGATTTGGTGTACGTAATGTTTCATTTTCTGTACTTTCTTCACGAATTGGTGATTGAGGTGTAGACATTTCAGAACTATAGATAAATAAGACATAATATGTTAGTTTATAGAAGAAAATATTTGAAATTAGACTAGCTATTAATGTTTTCTCTAAATCTACTTTAAAAATTAGTTTGGTTTAATATAAACATGCAAGTAATGATTAAAAAAATAGTTTGCATAATGAAATTTCATCTTACATTCGTCGACGGTGTAAACCAGACGACGAGGAAAGTAAGGACGCATATGTCCGTAAATTGCTCTGGCTACTAATAGTTTATATACATGTTAATCAATATTTTGTAATTTCTTTTTTTGATTTTGATATAGAAGAAAAAAAAACTTACTGAGCATGTCGTGATCCTGGAGTAGTATCTTGTGATGATGGTCGTCTATAATTTTGGCCACTATATGTGGATAGCATTGATCGATTACGATCACGATTAAGAGCATTCTGAATAAAAAATAATTCCTTGATTATTATCAATAAATACTAATATATCACAACAAATATCATACGAAACAAAATATGTAGATAGAAAAGCAGTCAAGTGTTCTTTAAAGAATTGAATACAAATTGAGTTAGAAATTTAATGAATATATCATTATTTTTAACTCAAATATTCTTCAACAAAAAGAACGAAAACAATGGGTGCAAGCTAAATATAACATGCAGATGGAATAATAGTACAACATTCATTGTCAAACAGCATAGGCGAACCGTAGATATTATTGATCCTTGTAAAAATTCATGTTGTTGTAATGGTGCTGATGATTGTGCAGACTAGAAAACTCGAGTTTTTCTTATTCTATTCTAATTAAATTCCTCAACAATATACATATATACAATTGATTCTTAGAAAAATTAATTTTCTCGTGATATTTGAATATAAGAATAGATAGTTTGTAAAAGTTTTAATCTATTGAAAATATTACATTACCTTATTTGATGGTTTTATTTTTTGTTGTAGATCACTTTTATATGTATTTACTAATTCTTTTTCTAACCATTGATATCGAGCTTCTTCGGGTTTTAAATCTTCATCAGATGCTCCCGATTTTCTATATAAATATATATGTTTTATAATTAAAATCATTAAAATAAATTATATTTTACTGTAATGTCGCAATTCTTTGTCCTAATATCGAATATTCATAATTTAATCTTTTTCGTCGTTCTTCAACTTCACTTGGATCATTATTTTCATTAATATTAATTGTACTTCCACTATTTGTATTAAGTAAATTTGAATTTATTGGCAAATCATTTTCATTATTTAGTTGATCAATTGGTTCAATTAAATGTGTTGATGTTATTGTTCGAATTAATTGTGAAAAACGTTTACCAATAATTGAATCAATATTTATATCAATACCTTTCATATCCCATTGAACATTTAAAAACCATTTTGGACTAGAAGAATTTGGTAAATTTTTAGCCCGTGAATGCATTAAATATCGACCACTTGGTACACAACATGCATTTAAAATAACATTTGATGTTGATGAAGATTTAGGTTTCCAATTTGAATTTGTTTGTTGAAAATTTTCTGCAAAACGAAAACAAAAACCTTCGAATGAGCCCGAACTTATAATTGCACCACATGAACATGCTGATATTGTTGTTTGATCAAGTGTAAATACAAGAAAATCACCAACTTCATCAACGACTGATACAGATTGTCTTGGACTAAGAACTTGTGCATCTGCTGTTGCAAGTTTTGTTGGTTGATCTAATTGTTGAAGTGGTATAGCAATACCTAAATCAATAATATCTAATTGAAACATAAGATTAAGGTCAGTTGTTGTTGTTGTTGCTTGTGCAGGTTGAACATTCACCAATGGACGTTTATGTATTGAATGACTCGTTGGAGTTGTAAATGCTCCACGTTGTTCATTCCAATGTTCATATGTATTTTTATAATTTAACCAAAAAAGAATACCTATAAATGAAAAGATTTATCTATAGGTAAAAAAAAGAATATGACGAAAATTACCTTTATCAATAGCACCTGGTTGCCAGTAAAAACTTGGTTTAGTTAAACGAATAAAATATGCTTCTTTTGCAACATCATCCGGCTAAGAGAAATAAAATTTAATATCATAATTCTGCAATAACGTTAAAAATATAACTTACTTGAAAAGAATTTTTTAAAGATAATTTTGTTTTGAAATAAGCTGCATCTTGAAATCCTCCAGTTTGTAATAATTGTCCAAGACTAAGTTTAATATATAATAGAGCAGTAATTAATGGTTTATTATAAAATAATAATGAATTTTGTTCATCATAATTTGTTAATTTAATAAACATTGGTAAATTTCTATCGGCATTTTCAAATTTAACAACTGTATTTGATGGTGTTTGTCCAATAACTTCAAAACCTTTTATTGATATATCAATTTTATATGTAAATGGTGTTGTTGATGATTTTTCTTGTTCATCATCTTCGTCCTCATCATCAGAACCATCTTCATTATCACTTATTGATTGTAAAGTTTTATCTTTTATCATTGATTTTACTGGTCCAAAATGAAATTGATCAATTCCTGATACTTTAGCAAGTATTTCATTAATTTCATGTATAATTACTTTTGAAACAAAAACTAATTGTGCAAGAAAATCAGCTGTGATTGTTAATTTAAGTAAATCAATTTTTGTACGAAGATTTAAATGTCCTTTTGGTTTATCAGTTTTATCTTGTTCAATTGTATAATTTCCATAGCAACGTATTTGCGGAAAATCAATTCGTACATGATTATCCGAACTAACTGTAGGTAATTGATTGAAATCATTTGTATTATTATTATTTAAAAAATGTAATGCATGTTCATGAATAATAGCAGTAAAACGTGATGTTGTACTGCCAAGATTTGCAACACCTTCAACAACACCGATTTTATATTGAGCTTTAAGTGTAGATAGAAGTGTAGTTGAAAATGTCATTCCTTGACAATGTGCAGTTATATGAACTTCGAAAATAGGTCGTTTTGATATCGATAAACTACTTTGTTGAGTTTGTAAATGTTCATTTGTTAAATTTGAAGTTAATGTTAATGTACGATGTGATTTCGAATGTTTTTTTCTTGGAATTTGTTCAGATAATGTTGGAATATTTGAATCTTCAATTGTATTATTTAAACTTGTATCCATTTGTTGAAATTCATCATCGGTTGTTAATGGTATTGTAGATGATTGTTCGGTATCATCGGGAAGAAACTCTTGAACATAAGATGTTATTAAACGACCGGCACGATTAACTAAATCATGAACTTCTTGTGGTCGTAATGGTACATCCATTGCAATTGTACCGATATTTGTTACACCGCTTAATGTTAAATTTATTCCACGTGTTTGAAGAGATGTTAAAGCTCGAGATTTACCAACAATAATATCAAGTACAGATATTTCTCGAGTTGATGATGCTGATGATAATGCTGGATTTAAATTCGGAGTCGTATTATTTTGAAGATTATCAGACGAAGTAGAAAGTGTTTCTTTGAGGGATAAAGAAGTTGAACCTATTTGAACAATCAATGATCCATCATATCTAAATTTATATAAGAAGTTAATTTATCGAAAGAAATATATTTTTATTACTTTTTGGGATTTTGATTATTTGTATTTGATTGTATAGCTCGAAGTCTTTGTGATAAACTAATACTTCCTTGAACTTTTCCCATACAACCATCGACTTTTAAACCACCTAATGAAGCTGAATAATATATTTCATCAATAATTAACCAACCAAATGCTGATAATAAAAGTGTTTCAGTTGTTGCATTTGTTATACCATTACGTGCTTGTGTTTGTACTACTTTTGGATTTGTTGTTGATGATGGTAAATTTGAATCATTCACTGGTTGTTTACGTGTTGTTGTTGTTGTTATTTGTTTAATTTCTGGTTGTGTACCATACATAGTCACAAGTTCACGTAATTTTTTCCAACATTGTCTTTCAACATCTAATAAATCATCCGTATTCGAATGTAAAATATTTGTATGAAGAGGTTTTAAAGCAATATTTTCAATTCCATGTTCAGAATAATCAACTACTGTACTTGCTCTTGAACGTGTAGGAGAGAAATCCTCTTGTTGTTGTTGGTGTTGTTGTTGTTGAAGTTGAATAGTTGAATCTGTTTTAATTATTTCATTAATACCTGTATATTCAACTGCATTACCAACAACTGTATAAAATTGATAAACAATACGTAATAAAGATAGATTAACTTCTTGTTTAACACGTTGTACACGTATACCAGCTTGAACATTAGCTGAATGTAATTGATCATATTCAAGTGATTGTCTAAAAACGCTTTGAATATTTAAATTTGTTACACAAAGAACAGATGATTCAACAGGTGAATTTAATATTAACGGTTGTGTATTATTTATAAGTTCATTTGGTAAAATTTTAACATCAAATCGTTTTATTTGTGCTGATGCTAAAACAGTTTGACCTAATTTTTCAAATAATGGTTCGATTGATGATGCAACTGATAATTCTACACTGGCATATTCAAGCAAAATTTTAAATAATTGTTCAACTGGACCAACTAATTCAGGTCCTGCATCAATATAATAAGTTGTTTCATTTAATGAATTCGTATTATGTCTTTTATTTGAACGAGCACCATTTTTATTATCTTCAATATCTGATGCATCAGTACCGGTATTTATTCGTTTATAACCAGTTGTATTATTTATATTTGCAGTTGGTTCAAGACGTCGTAATGTTTCACCTTTTATAAGAAAATAAAAATAAAGATTTAATTAATATCGATATATTTATTTATTCGATTTTTTTTGTTTTGTATTTAAAGCATAAAAATCATGCAAATAGGTCTATGTATACAAAAATAAATGTATAGACAGTGGATGTAACTTGTACGTTGAAATAAGCACAAAAACCGGCATGGTTTCTTTTAAGCAATAGTGCTTAACTTGATTTGAATAGCACAAAATTTCTCGTAATATACTACTGTGTGAAGCTTACCTTGATCAAATGCTACATTCACATGACCTGTGGATTGTGCTATAATAATTTAGATACATAGTCATGCATATGAAGATGCAATAACCAGTGCAAAGAGTGGCAATAGTTAAAGAAAAATAATTTTCTAATAAGAAAATATAGTACCTCAGAGAATCTATAATTTCATTCCATTAGAAGATGATCACTCTGCACTTATTTCAACTGATGAATTTCCATCAATATTTGTCTCTTTCTTTTATGTATAACATATATAGAAAATAAGATATATATATATTAATGACTAGAGTTTGAGGTTACTGAATTCTATTTCAAGGACAATTTGTTACTCGATAGATTGTCTTGAGTATCACAACTAGAACTACAATCTTACAGTAGTATAAATCGAAGGATATGAGTAACAGTCGTTTTCTTCAACGCACACTTTTTTGTACACAGAATATGTAAACTCAGAACGGATTAGACTGACTGACAAGCTTTTTTGAGCAATTATTACACACAAAAAAAAACGATTCTTACTTATAAAACTAGATGTACGACGACGTTGTACACCTGCTGATGATGGTTCTTTATTTCCTTCAATTATTGTATCTTTATTACTTGCATTTGAACGAGTATTTTGTACTGTCATACGTCTTCGAACAGCTGAATTTGCACTTATGGTATTATTGATATCATTTTGAGGCTGTTTGGATACTGCAGATGGACGAGAAGCATGTGATCCAACAGATTCATGTCCAATAAGACGTTGAACACGGCCAACTATAGTTGATGCTCGTGCTCGTGTATTATCTGTTACTTGTTCATGTTCATTACTATTTGTTGGTAACATACTTTCAATAGGTGATGTTGATGTTGCAGATGCTGGTGGTTGACTAATATGTAAATGTAAATGTGGTTGTTGTTTAAATATTTGAGCCCAATCACGACATGCTTCACGTATGCCTTGTTTTAACAATTCAGTTTCTGGTAATATATGTGGTTGAAGATTAATATTAATTTGTTTATTATGATTAAATGCTTTTCGAATTTCAGTAACAAGTTGACATACAGGATGTGAAAGAAGATATTTCGTTTTAGGTGTAAATAATTCATATAATTTACTTTGTGGTAAAGTTAAACTCGATGGTGTTTCAATAAGAAAATAAGCTAAAACAGCATCAATACGTTTTTCACGTTTATGAACAAAAGTTTCAATAGGTTTTTGTAT